AAGGAAAGGAAGAAAGACCCTGAGAGGAGAAGATATTTAAGATTCGGACATTCCTCCACGTTCAAAAACAAAGTGCCAGTCTGGCCTGACAAATTGCTTTTCCTTTCTCTGTGTTTTTCAGGAGACTTGAACCGGCCAGGATGAGGAGTACGAATTCAGGCTCTTCTGGCTTTGGGTTCATGAGCTGGTGATTTTAGAGTAGATGGGAGACGTCAAATCCAAGCATCAAAAATAACCAATACTGAGCTCAAACACGACTGTTACGTTAATTGGTCTCTCTAAATTACCCAAACGAGCGTGTGTGATTGACTGTCCACATGGTCATTGTCCTGTGACAAATGGTTTGGTTTGGTGGCATATCCAAGATATAATCCGCCCAATGAATGCCAAAGATTGGCACCAGTCTCCCCGAGAGCGTGCAAGGACCGGCAGGTAGAGACAGAGGACGGATGGATATATTCACACCTGATAGTCTGGTAGACCCGGTTCAATTGGCGACCAAAATTTTAACATTTGTTCCACAGTTTTATTGTTTTATTATCCTAAACCTTAAAAAAACAACCAATGTGTTTTCAACATGCAACCTGGAAGGAGAAGGTTTGGTGAACAAGTCTAATATTTATCTAATTAAGAATAGCTCTGTGCATTTCGGGTGTTTTCAAACCTGATTGTCCAGTAGATTCGGTTGGATTGGGGACCAAAAGTTACAATATTTGTTACATTTTCAGCTGCCATGATTTGGTTTCTCATTGCACTGAGTCAAACCAACCAAGTCATTTGAGAAACCTGTTCCCCTCCTGGCCTGTGGGGGCGCTGCACCAAGAACTACTCTAAAAAACGACACAAAAACCTCTGAAGACACTGAGAGCAGCTTCTCTGTTCACAAAAGGCAAACCAAGATAGAGTGGCATCAGATTTTAGATGTTGCAGGATTTGTCTTTTCTTTGCTAAAAGACCATGAACCATTTCTCCTTCTAGCGCTAAAATCTTGCGTATGTTTTGGTTGTATTTACCCAGAATTCCCTGCATCATAGTTCGCTTCCTGCCATTGGAACGTTCTCCGATCCGATTGGTATTCACATATGCCGAGAACGAGGTTTGTAGGCGGACCAGAGATCACTTTACTGGTCCGCATCAGAGTTCGATGAAGCGCATTCAAACCTCCCCAAACAAACTGGACTTTCTACGCAAACAAACCAGAGTTTAATTGAACTCAATCAAACAGGGTTGGTGTTAATGCAGCCCTAAATGCATTTTTGGCAGGAAATGGAGGGCACACCTCCTTTCAATTCTAGGGTTGTACATTCAAAAACACTTAACAGATAAATTGATACTATCGTAATTAAACAAAGGTGAAACCTGGAGATGGTACAACTCCTGATTCAGTTGCTTGTAGAACCATCTATAGCTCCAATGACTCTTAGCAGTCACATTTACTCTGGTTTCTTTGCTTCTGAATATCTATCTCAGTGTGGCATTTCAATAAGGGGCCTTCTGATATGTTTACTATCAATGTCCTGTTACTCACCAGTCTGTTGGACGAATGGATTCATGTTTGATTTGTGAATACTTCCTGTAAGGCAGTGGTGTAGTCTATGTGATACATGAGATTTACCTAAAACTACTTAACATAACCAGAGATGTGACTCAAGACAGGTTCATTAGCATAATGATAAATTGCGTAGCATAATAGCATCATGAGCTATATCGACTGATAAAAAGTGCTAATATTATGATACGTTTTCCAGCCTTAATGTCACTGATTTCTCTCAAAACATGTTCTGACTGGTCTTATGAATGAAAAAGGCTCCACTGAATTCCAGAAATAAATACAGCGAACTGTGCAAATGCAAATGTATGGTATATGTCATGGCTGCCACTCCAGAGTAGGAAGTGGTCACAGCATACCTACTTCCAGAAATTAGACTCCAGCACAGCTGCAATGTGCCAACTGTTGGTTTGGATAGATTGGTTTTCTCCAAGCATTATACTCCCCATTCTCTGAAACTATCCATTGGACATGAGTCCAAAAGTCTTTGTTCTGGTTAATTCAAGAGTAAGGTGCCTTTCTCACTGAAACATAACGAATAAGACCTGAAATGTGCCGTACAAAATGAAAAGAAACTCGTCAGGATCTACAGGAACAATACATCCAGGCTCACAAGTGTCTCTGAAACTAATAAAGTCCTTTGTCTCTTCGTGACGTTAAACTCTTTAAATCCAACAGATTGAACTCTTCACAGCCTTTTTCTGATTTCCTACGGTGTCTGCACTGGACCAAACTGAGCAGCAGTGTGTTTTTCAGACTTACGCAAAAATAATCGCTGCTTGTCCGCATGAGCGTGAGAGGTTGTCGGCCTCTCCTCAAGGAGCCCCGTTCAAACACACACACACACACAAACACACACACACACACACACACACACACACACACACACACACACACACACACGTGAACAGAGTCTGGAGCCAGAGGACATAGTAGCACTCATTCATCCTCTGGCTGCAGCTGCCTCCCCCTCCATCCTTCTACCGCTGGTCTTCAAACCTTTTTCATCCCTCCACCTTCCCACCGTGACCATTTTAGGTTCTGGGAAGGTACAAAAACAGTCTTTTGGATGAACAGTCGAGTTGGATGTGTGCTCGTAACACCGATTTGCCCAGAGACACACCAGCACAAGCCAGAGCCTCGTAATCAGTCCAATCTGCCGCCACAGACCTACCCTGGTGTCTTTCTAGTTTCCAGCTACCTCACCAAACAGTGACGAAGATGCATCGTGTTGTCAGAGTTTGATCTACTGCAACCCAATCACTTCCACTGTTCTGACTGCTTCTCCTTGCTTTGATTTGTCTTCTTATCTGCCTTAAGTCTGCAATCCAACTCTTGTTTGTCAAGAAAGTCCGGTTCATTTGGGGAGGTGTGAACGTGCACTTGAACTCTGACTTAAACCAAAAACATGAATTCTAGTCCGCTTTCAAATCTCGGTCTCGGTTCGGTTGAGGTGAGCTCTAGTGCGGTTCAAATATATGTGAACATCAAGCGAACCAGACACCGCTCCAAAAGCAGGAAGCGGACTATAGCGCAGGGCATTCTGGGTAAATACAACCAAAACAAACTTGCTAGTTTAGCACTAGTGGTAGAAATGACTCATGGTCTTTTGCCAAAGACGAAAGCAAAATCCTACAATCGCTAAAATCTGACTCCAATTCTGTTTACATTTTGTGAAGAAGGAAGTTCATGTCATGTCTTTAGAGATTTTTGTGTCGTTTCTTTCAGTGGTTTTTGGTGCAGCGCCCCCACAGGCGAAGGGGGTGAACAAGTTTTTCATTTAGTTTAGACTGGTTGACACAGGTGTTGAATTCTGTAACATTAGTGGCGTAACTGTTCTCAGTCAGTTGCTATGGCAACAAGACTGTAAGGAGTGCAGCCGAGAAAGAGAGGAAATGGAAAAATATGTACAGTTTTGAGATAATCTTTGACAGTTTTATTTTATTTTTCCCTTTGCTTTGGTGCACTGCACTAAATTAATAACGCCCACATCTCCAGGTTTTATGTTAATGTAATTGTTAATAGAAAATAGTGTCTTTTTGTCCTCCAGCATTTTGCGCATATGTGAGATTTCCACAACGTCTCTATACACCAAACTGACTCTTTAATGGGTTGTCCTTTTTTTTTTTACAATACTGTATGTATTTTAAAAATTAAGTGGCTCCATTATTTAAACTGCTGACTCTTTAAGCAAAACCAAGGATTTCCCTGCGGAAGTGGTGCCACTGTTCGTTTGACGCTTGGCATTCAAAATGGGAACAGTTCAGTTCATGTAACTGAATTTATCACTGCTCTGAAGCAAATTCAGGTTGAATTCATGTTCATTGTCCTTATTAAAACCAAATCAATTTCCATGTCGCCAGGAAAACAAAAGTTTTCAGTCACATCTGACTGGTCTTTTCCAGTCAGATGGTGGTCTTTTCTCACGTGTGGCTGTTAATTTAAAGTCCCGGTAGCACAATGGGTAGGTGGAGGGCCACTAATCTGGCCCAGCTGGATGCTGCTGAGGTGTTTTACTGGATGTGAGTGTTTGTTGCTGTTAATTGGTCCTGGCTGGGGGGTGGCTGCGATTGGAGGCTGTGGAAAAACAAATGAGCTACAGTAACAAGTCAGTGAAAGTGAGCAGGACCTTCATTCCTCTGCAGCATGTAAACCAAAGGTCATCAGTCATCCATTGTCTCAGGAAGCTAATCGCAGCTGTCACTGACTTCATCTTAGATTTCTATGCAGTCTATGAACGCTAAGGAGAAATGTACTGATTCTGCTTTTAATACATGGGATCCCTCTATGTAGATCCTTGAAATACAGATTTTATTTCTGTATAACCAACAAATTTTAAAATTTTGACTACAAACTTAATTACATTTAATTAACTTGATTTTGCAAGTTAAGTTTAGCTACTTTCAAATTTAATTTAACAACTTAGATTACTTAAGTTAGAATAACTACAGTTTTATAAAAGTTAAATAAATATTCATAATCTTAGTATTCCTGATGCCTTCTAGATACGTCCTTTAAATACTTGAAGCTTTTTTATTTTCTCTGTGGGTGGCATATTTTATCACTTTTTTTAATACAACACACTTCACTTCAAGGTTTTGCAGCCTTATTTTTAACAGAGCAGCGTCACAAAACAGTTTATAAAGTTTTACTTATAACATCCTGGCTGCTTACTCTTTTCGAATCCTTTTGTAAATACAACTAATTTTGTTTCAGAATTGGCACCATAAATTATTCTCACTACTATATTAATTTTTTTTATATTTTTTAAATGTTAAATTAACTTGTCAAACATTTTAATATAAATCATGAAAAGTAAAGCAATTAAAGATTGTTTGCATGCAATTTAATAAACAAAAAATAATGTAAACAGTTTCGCTGTGAACCAGAATTTCAAAATTAAAAAAATGAAAAGATAAACTTTTAAAACCAAGCAGAAACAACTACTGACCTGTTTTTTGTAGCAGAATGAGGAGCTTTCTCCCTGTCAAACCTACAGAAAAAGACATTAAAGAAAACACAGTTTCAGG